CCCTGCGCCGCCGGGAGGAAAAAGGAAGCCGCCCCGCGGCGTTGGGACCGCCCCCTCCCCCCGGAGGCGCGCCTGATTGGACTGCTTGTAGGCCCCGCCCCACCCCTGATTGGGCCGTTTCCCCGGCCCCGCCCCTAGGGCACTTGAGTGATCAGAGGAACCCTGGCAAACCTAGCTCAGTAGGGTTTTTTTTTCTTCTTTTTTTTTTTTTAATGTGGGGCACTGTTTTTTATTTTATTTTTTTTTGCTGTAGGGCGCGTGTGCTCGCCAGACAGAGAGAGACAGAAAGCAGGAAATCACCCCTCAGAGGGGATGGCCACGCCGCAATCCCTTCTCCTCCATTCTCCTCTGGGGATCTTGGGCACGCACGCACATTCGCCTGGCGTGAGTTTTAAGCCACTGGGTCTGGGACGCGAACCGCGGTCGACCACATGGGAGTCCAGCGACATAGCCATTACGCTAACTGCTGGTTCCCTAAACACTTACCATTCATGTCACCGTTCAAATATATATTTTGGGTGAAAGTTTTTATTTTTAGGTTTTTGCCCTAGGGGCTGTTCACTCACTAGAGACAGACAGACAGAGAGAGGGACAGTGAGAAAGTTAGCCGCCAGGTCTGGGACTCCAACCACCATCAGCCCTGTGGGAGCCCAGCACCTTAACTGCCACACCACCTGCTGGCCTCTGGTGAAAACTTCTTGAAAAAACAACTTCATGGGGTCAGAGGGTGGCATGGAGGCTAAGAGCACTGGATTCCCACATACCAAGTGCGGTTCAGGTCCCGGACCTGGTAACTGTTTTCTCACTTTCCCTCTCTTTCTCTCTCTGGTCAAATTTAAAAATAATAGTAACAATTAAAGTTAAATAAATAAATCTTTTTAAAAACAAAACCCAAAAAACCCTTAAAGATGGGCTTATTAAAATGTTTGTGTTAAAGTGTTAACAGGGGACCAGTAGTTAGTATAATGGCTATGTTGCTGAACTCCCATGTAGTCGACCACAGTTCAAGTCCCGGACCCGGTGGCTTAAACTCACATTGGGTGTGTGTGCGTGCGTGCGTGCCCAAGATCCTGAGAGGAGAAGGGAGGAGAAGGGATTGTGGTGTGGCCATCCCCCCTGGGGGGTGATTTCTCCCTTCCTGTTTCTCTGTCTCTGTCTTTCTGGTGAGCACAGATGCCCTGTAGCACAAACCTCTCACTAAATTTTTTAAAAACTGCTAACATAGGGGCTACCTCTGTGGCCTGGTGGTTAAGGAGGCTCATTCTCAACCCTTCAGTTCTAGTCTCAGATCCAGCAGCTTGAAAAGCATATGGGTGTATCATGCCCAAAATCCCAAGAGGGGGAGATGGAGGAAAAGGGGTTGCAGAGTGGCTATTCCTTATGTCTCTGTGTCTCTAGCAAGCACACATGCCCCCAGAAATTTAAAAAAATAAATAAAAAAGAAATTTTAAAGACATTGTAAGGTTCTCTGAACGGAGACAGCTTTCTCTTAGGAGAGAAAATAAAGTTGTGGTTTTTTATTTTTATTTTTTTTAAAGAATTATATAACTCAGGGCCAGTAGGTTAAGGCGCTGGAATTCCCACATGGCTGACTGTGGTTCAAATCCTAGACCTGGCGGCTTGCTTTCTCCCTCTCTCTCTTTCTGGCAAAATTAATGTGAAATCATAAATAAATAATTATCTTTAAAAAATATTTTACTTAACTTTGTTTCTTTATTTTAGTTTGACCAGTGAGGGACAGAGTGAGAGAGTGTGCAAAAGGGAGAAGGCAAGCTGCCAGGTCCAGGACTCAAACCACAGCCAGCAATGTGGGAGCCCAGCATCCACAACCACCAGGCCACCTGCCGTCCCTGAAAATTACCTTTTAATTCTTTTGACATTATTTTTGTATTCAACCCCAATGTTCTTTTCTTCCTGTTTTATTCTTAAAATGTAGACCCAGAAAAATCCTTATGAATTATTACACTACAAGAAACATTGATTTCAGGCCAGCAGGTGTTGTGGTGAAGGTGCTAGAATTCTCACTTGGCCGACCACAGTTCGAATCCTGGACCTGGTGGCTTACTTTCTCTCTCTCCTTCCTTCTCTTTCTCTGGCAAAACTCATGTGAAAAAAAAAATTAATGAATGAATTCAATAATTCCTTTTTTAAAAAAAGAAACATATTGATTTCATATTCATGATGTATCATGGTCATGCCTAATTTATTTACCAAAGTGTTCCCCCTTTCCTCTGCACGCTAGAAGGTGGTATGCAAAAAAGTGTTGATTGACTTGTGACGGGAAGATTTTTTTTTTTTTGGAGAGGTTTTCGCTATAGGGCGCGTGCGCTCCCCAGACAGACAGAGACAGAGAGACAGAAAGTGAGAAATCACCCCCCAGGGGGGATGGCCACACCGCAATCCCTTCTCCTCCATTCCCCTCTCGGGATCTTGGGCACGCATGCACACACACCCGGCGTGAGTTCTAAGCCACCAGGTCTGGGATGCGAACCACAGTTGACTACGTGGGAGTCCAGCGACATAGCCATAATGCTAACTGCTGGTTCCCGGGAAGATTATTTTTTTAACTTTACTTATTTACTTAAATTTTACCAGAGAGGGACAGAGCAATGGGGGGGGAGAGAGAGAGAGAGAGTGGGAAAGTGAGAAGGCAAGCTGCCAGGTCCAAGACTTGAACCACGGTCAGCCACGTGGGAGTCCAGTGCCCTTAACCACCATGCCACTTGCTAACCCCAAAGACGTTATTCTTACTTACCCAGATAGGTCAGGTTTCTGATGGTTTCCTGCTTCACATCACTACAGAGATTCTTCTGAGTGTAATTCAGCAAAGCCCACTCCTTCTTGGTGAATTTCGGTCACATCCTCAAAGGAGACAGAACCCTAAAATATCCCAATTTAGGGTTACAGAAGGAAAGATCTTACTTCAGAAGATCTCCCTCTGCCTCTACCTCCAGTGAGTGTGTGTGCCCTTTGGCAATTAAAATAAATAAAATGTGGGACAGCAGGTGGCGCGGTGGTTAAAATCACTGGACTCGCACATGGACGACCATGGTTTGATTCCTGGACCAGGTGGCTTGCTTTCTCACCTTACCTCTCTCTGTCTTCTTCTGTCAAATTAAAATGAATAAAGTTAAATAATTCTTTTTTTTTTTTTTAAAGAATTTTATTTATTCATTTATTTATTTAAATTTGACGAGAGAGAGAGAGAGAAAGAGAGAGAGAGAGAGAAAGTGAGAAAGCAAGCAACCAGGTCTGGGACTCAAACAGTGTCCAGCGCCTTAACCACCACGCCACCTGCTGGCCCCAAAGTTAAATAATTCTTTAAAAATAAATAGGAGCCAGCAAGTAGCATAGTGGCTAAGGTACTAGACTCCCACATGGGCAACCACAGTTCTACTCCTAGACCTAGTGGCTTGCTTTCTCACTTTCCTCTTCTCTTGTTCTTTCTGTCTCTTTGGTCAAATTAAAAAAAAAATTAAATAACTTTTAAAAATAATAAATAAAATACGGGGCCAAAAGGTAGCAAAGAAGTTAAGATGCTGGATTCAGCATGGCCAACACTGTGGTTCAAGTTCTAGACATGGGAGACTGAAGAACACAGCGTGTTTGTGTGTATGCATGTGTGCCCAAAATCCCACGAGGAGAATGGAGAAGACATTATGACAAGGCCATACGCTCTGTGGGGGTGATTTCTTATTTTCTTTCTGTTTCTCCAGTGAGTACAGGAACCATAGGCAAAGATGGGATGAAAATTCCAACCCTAAAATAGTTTCCTCCTTTAGTTATCAGCTGCCATGGTTGATCCATAAAGGGAATGGATTCTGGAAAATCTGATTCCCAAGATTACCAACAGACATACCGCAATCCAGAGATCTAATTCAACTCAAGACTTTATTGTGCATTCCCAGGTTTGGATTCTTAATGCAAAGTCAATTATCAATTATGAAAGCAACGGCTAAAAAATTACAAAGACTAAACAGGAAACATGGAAACAATTCACCTAAGGTTATCTAATATTAGACAATTACTAATCAATACCAACTCTTGATTGGCAAGAAAAAAATAACCTTTATGCTAAAAAAAAGTTATTTGAATAAGAAAAAAGGCAAAGGATATATAAAAAAGGATACCTAGATAGAATATGGTACATAAAACTGGCAGAAAATCCCGAACAAGTAGCCACCACTCACTTCTCAATGGCCCGTTATTTACAGAAGTTTATGAAAATTACATAAGAATTAAACCTACCTATGTCTTACAAATACAGTTTGATTAACCAATGAAACTACTGCACTGCAACATGGAAGAGGACCAGCCGCAGTGGGGCACCATTTGGGGGTGCTGTAGCCACATGGAGAACCAGGGTTTTGGATCCCAGGTCAACCCGAAAAAGGAGCATGCATGCACACCCATGATCTCGCCTGCCTGGAATGGATTTGGATCACAGGTCAACCCGAAAAAGGAGCATGCACACCCATGATCTCGCCTGCCTGGAAGGGAGGTGCAAGCGATTGAGGGAGGAGGGAGTCACGACAGGACAGGATCCTGACAAAGACGCCCGTCTCGCAGAAAATGACCAAAGTTTTAAAAAAAAAAATGAAAATGAAAGACGGAATGAGAAAAAATTTAGAAACAAGACTCAAGGGTAAGAAAAATAAATAAATAAAAAAGCCAACCTATTAAATGTGCACACTATTAAACATTACTTACAAGATTAAAATTAGGTCACCTCAATGTACGTTAAAAATATAGGCATCCACTGTGTAGAAACCTATTTTAAGAGCTACTTGTAAGAACAATATATTTATAAATTCTGTTTCTTCAGGTTCGTCTTTTCTAGAGCTAGTATACCCAAATTTACTTGCACCAGGCTTTTCCTATTACTTGCATTGATAGGCCCTCTCTACATTGGCATTTCACATAGGGCTTCAAAAGTATGTGTTAAAGCCGCAGACTTTCTTTTATTTTTCACATCTGTGGTGTTTCAATCTTCCGTGTGGGCTGACTTCTGCATTGCTTTATTGTAAAGACGGCTGTCCGCTGGGTGGTCCTTAGCATTTTCTACGGGAAGACTAAGTGCTTCTGCATACTCTACGTGTCCGGGTGTTCCCCGCACCAGGCAATCTCCTACACAGCCCAGTAACTGTTAGGAGGTAAGTTTCCTATAATCTCTCCTGATGGTTTCCTTCTATTATGAGCTGTTTCCTCTTTTGAAAAAGAACTGAAACAAATGAGGGCTCTCCCTCACATTTGTATTTTTTTTTTTTCCCAGTAGGAATCCAAAGGAACTGTAGAAAATGAAGGGTTTACCACTTTCTTCTTTATCAGTAAGGTTTTTCTCCAGTGTGAGATCTAGCATGTCTTTTAAGGGACCCGGGATAACAAAATGCTTCCCGGCATCCCTTGCATTAACAGGGTTTCCATACAGTACAGGTTCTTTCACGTTTTTGTAAGTCACTAGGACGACTAGACTCCCATGTATCGCCATGGGCGTTCCTCCACTGTGAGTCCTATTGTGTTAGTTACTAATATAACTGAGTGCTTTCACACATTCCTCACAATCACACGATCTCCCTCCAGTACAACACGTGTTCTCTTATGCATCGGAGAGTAACTGTGAGGGTATTATGTGTGAGAGGGACTTTGAGAATAGAAGGCTTTTCTAAATTCCCGCCAGTCACTGGGTTTTTTCTCCAGTGTGTGTCCCACTCACATATGTGACAACACTGGAAGGACTAAAGGCTTCCCTGTACTTCTTACATTTACAGAATTTCTCATCTTTCATACATGCCAAAGTAACTGGACTTAAGAGGTCCCCGCACTGCGCACACTAAGGTTTCTCTCCGGCGTGAGTTCTTTCATGTTTCTGTAAGTAACTGGACAGAATGAAGGCTTTCCCACACTTCTGACATTCATAGGGTCTCTCTCCAGTGTGAGTTCTCTTATGTAGGTGAAAGGAACTGGGGTAACTGAAGGCTTTCCCACATTTCTTACATGCATAGGGTTTCTCACCCGTGTGGATTCTCTCGTGGATGTGGAAGTAACTGGACTGACTGAAGGCTTTCCCGCATTTCTGACACGCATAGGGTTTCTCGCCAGTGTGAGTTCTCTTGTGTATATGAAACAAACTGGCATAACTGAACACTTTTCCACAATACTCGCACTGGTAGGATTTCTTGCCAGCGTGAGTTCTTTCATGTTTGTGTAAGTAACTGGGAAGACGGAAGGCTTTCCCACATTTCTTACACTCATAGGGTTTTTCTCGATTGTGAGTCTTTTCGTGTTTTTGTAAATAACTGGACAGACTGAAGTATTTGCCACATTTCTTACACTGGTGTAATTTCTCTGCAGTGTGGGTTCGTGCATGTATGTGCAAGTAACTGGACTGACTAAAGGCTTTCCCACATTTCTCACACTCGAAGGGTTTTATGCCAGTGTGAGTTCTTTCGTGGACTTGCAGTGCACTAGGGAATTCGAAGGCTTTCCCGCACACATTACACCTGTAAGGCCCGTCTCCAGTGTGCCTGATCATGTGTCTTCGAAGGTTCGCGAGAGAAATGAAAGCTTTCTCACATTCCTTACATTCATAAGGGTTCTCCCCACTGTGAGTCCTTTCGTGGTCTCGGAGGTAACTGGGATAATCAAACGCTTTGCCACATTGTTTACACAGATAGGGTTTCACTCCAGTGTGAGTTCTCTCGTGAATGTGAAAGGAACCAGAGCGACTGAAAGACTTCCCACATTTCTTACATTCATAGGGCTTCTCACCCGTGTGAGTTCTTTCATGGATTTTCAACAAACTGGGGAACTGAAAGGCCTTCCCACATACCTTACACGAGTAAGGCCCGTCTAGAGTGCGCCTTGTCATGCTGCGTTGAACACTTGTGAGAAAAGTTAACAATTTCTCACATTCGTCACCTTCGTAGGATTTGTCTCCCATGTTACTACTTTCGTATCTACGAAATAAACTGGGATAATCAAAGGCTTCCCAACATATGTAAGGTTCTCTTCCAATGTGATTCCTTTCATGATTTAGAAAGGATTTCCGATAACTAAAACCTTTCCCGCACTCCTTACATTTATATGGCTTCTCTCCGTGTTCCTGATTCCCATGTGGCTTCTGTCCGGTGTGAGCTATGAGGTGCCTATTGAAATATAAGGGAGCAGTAAACACTTCTTCGCACATACTGCTTTCATGTAGGTTTACAGCAGGATTTTTCTCCTTCAAAATGTGATCTGAAATCGGGCTGAAGGTTTCTCCATGGGCCTGTTCCTTTTCACAGAGTCTTTCTAACATACAATGTCTGCGAAAAATAAAAATCATTATTAGACGTGAGTTATTTTAAAAGAAATTTTATTTGCTTATTTTCATTTATTACATTATTTTAAAATTTGCAATAGGGCACATGCACTCACCAGAGAGAGGGAAAATTAGAAAGCAAGCCGCTAGGTTCAGGACTCAAACTGCAGTCAGCCATGTGCGAGTCCAGTGCCTTAACCACTATGCCACCTGGTGGCCCCACCCTGGATGTTTTTTAAACTGCCATGTTTGGGACTTGAATTGGTCAGCCACCCCAACCACCATGTCACCAGTTGGCCCCACCAGTATGGTAT